ATTTTGTAGGAGACTGAATTAAAACACTATGGACTAACCTGTCAAAGTAAATTTTAAGGAAGTCCAACCCCAAGACAATTATTGCTAGCTTCTTTGAGCTAGATTTACAGTGAAAGTCAAGAACAAAATGTAGAGCAGAAACACTCGGAACAGAGGCAGTTTGGTAGGAAGAGCCTGTGGAAAGTTAAGGCTTAGGCAGGCCTCATTTCAAAGAGATTAACACACTTGACATGAAGTTTTGTGTCAGGGTAATAGGAAAGACACACAGATCATTTCAAGAATTGGCTAAACATCCATGGAATGTTTGCAGGAATGTGAGAGTGAACTTGTGTGGAAAACTTTCCCTAGAGTAAAAAGCTCCTCCAGGCAACCAGCTCTTTCAGTGATACCTAGTCATTTTACTAGAATTAATTTCACTAGGATTCCATTAACCAGAATGCATGAGCTACCTGAATACCAAGGAAACAGAAGAGAAGATCCAGAAGTAAGCCCACATAGCTATAGCCATTTGGTTTTTACCAAAGACATGAAAAACATACACTGGCAAAAAGAGACTCTCTTCAAAAATTGGTGTAGGGAACACTGGATATCTACATATGGAAGACTGTATCCACTTCCCTAGTCTCACCAATAACAAAATTCAATCCAAATTGGATTAATGATAATAATGAGCAACTTGAAACTGAAACTACATTAAGAAAACTAAGGAAAATACTTGAAGGTAAGGTGGAAGGTAGTTATTTGTGAACAGAACTCCAATTGCCCTGGAAATAAAAGCAAGAAATGACAAGTGTGATTGCATCAAATTAAAATGCTTTCTCATATCAGGAAAAGAATTCTTAAAGCAATAAATGCAGTTTTCTACTTTTGGGTGTTTTGGTGTTGTTTTCCTTCTGAATTATTTTTTAATCAAGAAAATTTTTTCAGTGATTTTGTTGCTGTGTAAGATCTTGAACAACATATGATGTGTGACGCAATTTCTATTTTCTTACAGAAAAAATCAGAAAAAAAATTAAAGGGATATAGCAATGGCTTAAGTAAGCCATGTCCTGTGATTTGGAGGGCTGGAGCAGGTGCTTTTTGGTAGCAGAAAAGACCAAAGTTACTTAGATATTTGTGATTTGCTACTGTCACCATATAGAGTTTTTAATGTTGGAATTAATGTCATATTTTCAAAAGGAATGCAATACATCCCTCCATCCATTTCCCTCTTAACATTTCACTTCAATCCAGGGCAAATCACCTACTTTCCATATTTTTGGAGAACTCAAGTGCCTGCCCCTCACTCCTATTAGATTTCATTCTTATCACAGGTGTCCAAATTTCTGCAACTGTTCTGAAATGAGAGGCTTCTCTGCTATTTATGCCCAGCAGGTTAGTACATACACCTTAAAGTAGCAAACAAGAGAAAGGAGAGCTATTATAAGGGTTTAGTAGCATTATGTCCCATTTTAAATATCACTTTGTTTCTCCATTAGTCCAGGTATGAGGGGGGAGGCACAGAAATTTGGAGGATATCTTTGAAGTGGTTGAAATTAGCTTGGCCTTCAGGATGACAATATAGGCAAACATAATTATTTAAATAGAATGCTAGATTAGGCAACTTAAAAATGAGGAAGGCCATACTAAAGCTAACGGCACAACCATTTTCATTGTAGTATTATTTACCATAGCTAAAATATGGAACCAACCCAGATGCCCCTCAGTAGATGAATGGATAAGGAAAATTATATATATATATATGTATGTGTATATATATATATACATATATATATATATATGCACAATGGAATTCTATACTTCCATCAGAAAAAATGACCTTGCCCCATTCATAAAGGAAAGGCTTGGAAAAATCATATTAAGTGACAAGCCAGTTCCAAAGAAATATAGACTCCCCGGATTCCCTCATTTGTAATAATTAGTATAAGTCTGGGATAGCCTTAGAACAAGATCACAATAGCTCAATAGCTATATACATATGGCCATATAAGAGGATCCTAAATGAAATGAACCACAAGATATAGAAAGAAAAACTAATTTTACAACTTTGGTGGGGTGGGGGGAAGCATATTCGTGGAGATGGGAAGGCAGGGATGGTAGGGAATAAACAAAGGGGGAGGCAACAATGTTTGATAAGAAATGTTCTTACCTTGCTCATGTAATTGTAACCCCTCTGAATGGTATTTTCACAATAATAAAAAAACTTAAAAAAACAAGAGCATTTTTTTTATTGGTGTTGCTTTTAATGTGTTATGTGTTCTTTTTCTTTCTTGGTTTTCCCTTTTGGTTTATCCTCTGTTATTACTGTATTTGTTTTGGTACCCTATATTTTGTATATATGTTTATCTGAATTGGGGAAGGGAAGTGAAACAACATAATGGTGAGACAAAGGACAAAGAGTGAACAATGCAACAGTGATACAAGACAATATGTTGGAAATGACCTTTACAACTTGCCAGAAGGGAAAGTAGGAGAAAAATGATGGAGGGATAAATGCAGCAAGAAATGAACTCATTATCTTACTTATGTAACTGTAATCACTTTGAACATTACCTTGACAATAAAATTACATAAAAAAGAAAAATGAAGACTTTGATTTTAAGGGCAATGGAATTGTAATCAAGTTGAAGTTGGTACTAAGGACAGTGTGGCACAGACAGTGTTCTGTGCTCTGGTCCTGGCCCTGTGGAAGATGTAGGTACTCTATTCAAAAAAGTTCAGGGTTCTGGGGGAATCCATGTGACCTGCAGGTTTGGGTCCAGTGAATGTATTTCTAACTGTGATCCAGCTTTGCCTCTGGTGTTTGTAGGAACTTGTATAAGGACCTGATGTATTTCTCAGTAATATTTTAATGGCCTAATAAATTCTCAAGGAATTTCCAGACAGTGTTTCTTTCCCATCCAGTGACAGTTGTAAAAATCTATGGGCTGTGCAGTGCACAAAGAAGAGATAGTTGTAAAGAAAACCTTGCCTTTAAAATCCAAGATCTAGGTGAATTTGAACTTAAATCAGTTTATAATCTCTTGGGCTCAAGGTGGAGTCTACATAATGTACAAGTATTTTAAGTTTCAGTGAATATTTTTGAAAAGATGAAATCTCATTCTTCCATATTGTGATGAATATAAAGTTTGAAGTTGAGAGTGCAGTGCAAGGCCAGCTAAGGTAAAAAGCATGCCACCCTATCTGTAGAATAAAAATGGATGAGGAAAGGCTCATGTGATAGAGCACTTGTGTAGTAGGTAGGAAGCTTTGAGTTTCAATCTCAGTAGAACTTCAAAATAAATAAATTCTCCAGTTTGTCCTTCTACATATCCTGGTCCTACCAGTGTCTACACAGAGTTTCAGATGGTTTTTGTTGTCTACTTTTCTTTCTGAATTTGCATGGAAAACATTCTCATTGATAGAATATTGACTGAAAACAGACCATACTTCATATACTTTACATTTCTATACTTACTTTGATATTCTAAAACCCATTAAACGTAATTGTGAACTGTGTGGAAAAGTCTTTTTCCCTTGTAAGAGGATGTTCTTTTCAAGCTGCTAGAATGAGGCACTAGGGGAACATGAGTTTGGTAACCTTAGGGCCTGAAGTACCCTGAACGGAAGCTTCAACACTGTTGATGTCCTGCTGGTCCTGCTTCCTTCTCCCTTCTGGTGTTTAGCCCTTCAAGGATAAGAGTGGAGGGTCAAGATGTGTCAGCTCATCATTTTCTTCTGTTCTAATGGACAATTTTTAATTACAAACACATAGTACTAAGAATACTGTCTACCTCCGAGGCCTCTTACATCTTCCTTTCAGATTGATCTTTCTAGAAGTCTCTATTGAGCTTTCATATGCCTCTTGGAATAATAAACTCTCAAAAATTGTGCCTAACTTTTTGTTCTTCCCTCATATTTCTTTGTCTCAGAGGGTATTTGCTCTTCTTACCTTGTTGTGTATTTCATGGTCTTCCTGAGGAACAGTAGTGGATACCTTTTCTAACAAATAGAAATTTACCTGAAGCCAAGGATATACTGGAATTGCCAATACTAACACAATCTTTAGTATTCATGCAGTGGCTTCCTGAATGAGATGGACATAGGTTGGTGTATTAGGATTAGCATTAACTAAGAAGGGCTCCTTCTCTCTTGATCCAGGCTGGCTTGAATGAAGCAGAAATTAAGATTTTTATATTTGCTGAAGAAGGGATTATAGAAATGTTTATACAACACACTATGTTGAAAAATGAACTTTACAATTTAGACAGGGTGGGTGGGGGGAAGTGTAGTTGTAGAGATGGGAGGGAAGGGACAGGGAATGGTAGAGGAAAAACAAAGGAGGAGGCAATAATGCTTGATAAGAAATGTATTCATTACCTTAGTCATGTAACTGTAACCCCTCTGTACAGTATTTTTACAATAAAAAACTTATTCAAAAAAAGAAATGTTACTTGTGTAGGCTGGATATTTGTTAAGTGAGAATTCTAGTCAGTACTTAACACAGATGTACTTGGAAAGGAAAGTAGACATGGCCTTGTTGAAGATCAGTGCCCAATACAAAAGTGTAAAAGTCACAAACCTGATATTTATTTCACCAGATTTTTGTAGTTTTTGTCATGGGATCACTGAAACTATACAGTATTCCCTCATTAGGCAAAGAAAAATGTCCAAAATAATTTATTGGCATTCCTCATATGCAAAAATTCTCTTTTTAAATCAGAGATTCCTTACAAAGTCTTTTCTTTTATGTCTAAGAAGGACAGTCATAGATTGCAGAGAATTATTTGGTTTAGATTCTGGCTCCATATGAGAAGCACTCTCAGCAGATGGAGGCACCAGAAGGAGCATCTTGGATAGTCTGGCCTCTCACTTCTGCTTTCCTGGAAATTTATATTATGGGTTGTATCACTGTGGATATGTTATCATAATACTGCAGTCAGTAATAAATTTCAACATCTTCAGGCTGCAGGCTGTTAATGGTGAGAGAATACTCTGTTCCAGATCCAGTGCCACTGAACCTGGATGGGTTCCTAGATTCCAAACTGGATGTTTCATAGATCAGGAGCTTGAGAGTTTTCCCTGGTTTCTGATGATACCAGGCTAAATTAGAGCGAATGTCTTGACTGGCCCAGCAATTGATGGAGACTCTGTCTCCCGGAGATGCAGACAGGGAAGATGGACACTGAGTCATCTGGATGTCACATCTGAAACCTGACATGGAATACAATGAGCATAATGATTCATGTTTCATGAATACTCACAGAGATCCAGACTGAACTGACCACACTGAATGAATAAAATTTCTGTTGATGTTCTTCCTTACCTGGGAGTCAGAGCATCAGGAGCCCCAAGAGCTGAGCAGGGGCCTTTATGTCCATGCTGTGTGCTGACTGGGTCTGACTGCTACACGGGTGTGAACAATCTATGAAGAAATATTCAGAGTATTGTGCTCTGTGCTGGTCATATGCAAACAGCAGGGACTAGGCAGGTCTGGACACATCTACAGGGCTGGCTCACTGCAACAATTCCACATTGGCCCTGTGTTTTACTGGTGTCTTGGGTTGCAGGTGTCTCAGGCTGCAGGCTTCCCTGGTGTCCGAGGGCAGGCAATGGTCTTCTCTCTGAAGCCATTTTATTAAAGCAGATATTTTGATGATTATAATTGTAATGCATGATATATAAGCATTAAATTGATTAAGTTATCTCTCAGTGTGATGCCATGCATGAACATATCCTTGCTTGTAGGGAATACACAAAGAAATCTTAGAGTATGCACTATTTGATTTTTAATTCACTCTCAAATAGTATCCTTATTGTTATTTTTATATTTTTGTGCTGATCCTGATGCTTTAGCTTGGGGTCTGTGTGCTATCTCTAAGCTTTTTCACTCAATTGTGGTGCTCTACCAATTGAAGCACAGGCTCCACTTCCTCAAATAATTCTGACTGATAAAAAATATTTCCTAGCAAAGTGTTTATGTGTTTAAAATAGCATTTCTGTTTGTAAGTAAAATAATGATAATTTATTGGAAGAAGTTATTTAGAAGAAGTTACATGATGAGGAGAAGCAGCATGCTGTATAACTGTTCCAATGTGAGTCACTTAGAAGTCCACCATTTTCCAGTGCTGTAAGTACATTTCCTGTTCCATACTGAATGGGCTACATATTTTCCATAATTTGGAATCTCAGAGTTATGATAAACTGTTGTTATTTGTAATGATTCCAGTTACCACCCTGAAAGTCTAACTAGTTATGTCAGACTTGTACACTTCAGTAAATATATTCATACTCTATGCACCTGCTTTCCATTCACCACAAATGCCTCTGTTTGTTTAGTTTTATATTTTAGGTTTTTTTTCCACCGGCAATAGTAGGACATCAACCTGATCTAGACACCAGCTTTGCTGTGGGTATCTCTAGGAGAAAGACTGGCTCTCTTTTCCAGCCAGTGCAGGCAGGTGAGCACTGAGCAGAATCTTGGATACAGGTCAAAGTTGGACAAAGATTTGACTATCTCAAATTTCACGTCCAAAGCTGGGTTGGAAGCTCATGCCTGTACCACTAACAACTCAGGAGGTTAAAACCGGAGGGTCATGGTTTGAAGAGTCTTATCTCTAATTAACCACCAGAAAATCAAATGTGGAGCTGTTGTTCAAAGTGGTAGACCACTACTTTTGAGCAAAAGAGTTTATGACCGTGTCCATGCACTGAATTCAAACCCCACAGGCAACAAAAATTCAAATAAATTAAAAAGTCACATCTATTCCTCAATTTGGATGTTCTATCCTAGCTCAACACCATGGGAACAGGGCTTGTCTGTGCCTTGAGTTTCCACACTCTGGATCCTGACACTCTAGTTTCTTAATGATGAGTAGCAGATTATACCATTGGTGCCTGAGTAATATCTTTTTTCTGTGTTTCCAGATGCCAAACTTTCATGGGAACTGGTTATAAAGAATCCAGCCAGAATCTCCTTGCAGGGAGAATGTAAAGTTCTATGATCTTTTTAGTTGGATTATCAGGCAATGCTGGTATGTTGATATCGTCCTTTAATATGTTTGTGCTGATTTGTACAGCCATCCGGTGTCCTAATGTCATCTTGAAACAAGAGAGGACACCTCTGCTTAAACACTCAAAAGAACACCGAGTCAGGAATGAGTGCCCTCCGAATTTCCTCAGTGCTGATGAGAGAAGAGGTGCATACATATCTCAGCCCCTCATCTTACCGAAAATAACTCAAAAGTATTCTCCACATGGTGCTGAATTACAGTCATCAACAGCAATAGGAAGTATGTAGCGTGTTGTATGATCTTTACAGTCCATTTTCCCTTCCTTGACTTTCTTTGTCCCTTATCACTGTATCCAATATATCATAAAGTGTGAAGACCCTAGAGCCTCTTGGGAGCTCTGACTGAGTCCAGAAAGTGTGACTGAGTGGTGAATGTGGAGAAAGACTGATACTAGCAGAAAACTGATGGTTTGTGTGTAGTCTTGTCCTGTTTACAAGGATTCTGAATGAGTACATTACACTGTTATCCTATAGAAAAAAAAATGAATATCTGCTCTTTAGCAAGCTTAAACTTCACTATATTCTGATATCTTATTACCTAACTCTGGGAATATGCCCTTTGATTGTGAATAAAACTGCTCCAACCTAACAAGTGATCTTGTACCCAATAAAAGTGGAGGATAAGGAAATTCAGGAATTCTGGGAACTGTCCCAGACTCTCCTCATCTCTCTTGGCAATATGGATATATACCTTGAGTATTATTTTTCCACCATCATGTTGTCCACTGGATGGAGCTGGAAATACATATCTGAACTGTGTTGAAATTCTTAATATTAGACCCATGCTAACACATTAAACCAAGTATTATATTTAGATGGCAATTCTTATCTGAATTTTTGACCCTATTTTTTGATAATTTGAAAACAGAAAATTCTAGAAAAGTTTAATTTCTGTTTACAAACATTTCTTGGATTGGATATAGCAGCCATTATTTCTGTTTTATGGGTCACACAATCAGAAGAACATATAGGAAATTCACATGCACTATGAAGTGCACATTTAAAGCACTGATAGAAGACAGTGACAGTCTTTAAACCTCATAGGTACCAGGGTCTAAGTTTGAGATTTATTCCTGGTCTCTTGATTTCAAAATCCACCTTGTGATTTTAGTTCTGCATTAGGAAAAGACAGTTGGGAGGACACAATAATGGCCGTTATATATGTAACGTGGAATCATCAATAGATATCCACGTTCAAGTCTTGAGCCTATCAATATTACCCTATGAAGCCAAAAGAACTTGGGAGATGTTATTGGGTTACACATTTTCAGACTGGAAAACTATCTTGAACGATCTGCGTGAGGCTGATATAATATCAAGAACGCTTATACTGTTGAGTAAGAAATGCCAGAGAAAGGAAGTGACAGTGAAAAGGGCAAGGCATGATGTGATAAGAGTCAGAGCTGGGAATGTGAAATCATCTACGCTGAAGAAATTTTGAAACTGAATTATTTCTCTTAGAGACAAGCAAAGCAGTGCAGTACTCCTGAGTCCTTAATTTTAACTGGGTGGTTCTTAGTTTCAGAAATGTAAGATAATAAAATGAATGTACTCTGAAGGGCATAAGGAATCAGTGATCTGTGGCAGCTGTGACAGAAACCACACCACAGAGAAGTGTCTGATACCTCCCTGGGTGTATGGGGTGAAGAAAGCAGCTCCCATGGTTTTCTTAGCCTAGATAAACAGAATAATGTGAGAGTGACTTCAGTTCTCTAGCTCTTATTTGGAGGTACAGCTTCAACATTGAAAAAATGTGGCCTACAAGTTTAAGTACCTATTTTTAGACACTAGAATAAATAGAATAGATGTGTGTAAGAGAAGGAAAAAACCAGAAACGGGAAAACTCAACAGGTCAACATGTGTCATTCAGGAGAAAAGCCTGGGAAGAACAACCAAATCTCCTCCAATCTTCCTAAAGGGGAAATTTCACATTCCTCTTAAAACTAGATGCCCTTTAAAGGTTAGGCAGAATGAGTGAAGTCAAGGGACAATTGGAAGCAGCTTGAAGCAATGGCGATGTGGAAGAGAAATCTTACATTGACTGAGGGGTTTCAAGGTTTCAACAGCATCTGTACTCCTCATTGATGTCAGAGTCAGATTTGGCCTGGATCAGGCTCTCTTGTCTGAAATCACATGGTGCATTTTTTCAGGTGGAAGGAGAGGGGATATGATTTAGACAGCTTGGCTGAAAAGACAAATCTAAGATATGGCTGTCATGGGAAAGGTGAATCCTTTCAGTTGAAGTCATTTTTCCATTGATTTTTATCTGGGCCTTCAAACCAGAGTAAGGGCAAGATGGCACCGACCTGGAGCTGCTATGCTATGACCCTGGGTTGTGGAGAAAGCATTTGGTCTCCTGAGTGGTGGGGACTGAAGACTTGAGGGTCAACCAGAAGCTCTGCCCATGGCGGTGCCTAAGATTCAGGGGAAAAAAATGCGTAAAATGTACTGGAGTTGAACACAACCAAAAGTATAAGCCCAAGATTAGACTGCAAAAGACTAGAAGGATTGGAGTTTGCCTGACTCTGTGGGACTGGTCCTTCTCTGTGTTCTTCCACTCATCTGAGAATCAGCAACCAAGGGTGTTGTTTTAGCTCTGTGTATTCTGCTTAGAAACATAAGGAGTAGAAGTAAAACGTGTATAAAATGTAACTGGAGTCATGCTGACTGCACACAAGGCAGTTGCATCTCAGACGGCTGTCTTGTTCTATTACATCTGAATCCAGTCTTATCTATAGTTCTAACTCCATTCCAAGAACTCTTGTGGTAGAATCATCATTTTCTAGGTGTTTTTAATCTGGATCAGGTAAAATAGAAAATATTGAGGGACTTGCTCATGGAAAGACTCTGCCCATTTTGAACAGAATCCCAGTATCACATTGGCCAGGGAGCCTGGCAGAGAGCATCTCCACCTCAGGCTTCTCATGTTAATGGGGCTGCATCACTACTGCTTTCCCTGGGTTTCTTTTCTTTTTATTGTACATTTTTTATTGTAAAAATACTGTACAGAGAGTTTGCAGCTACATGAGCAAGGGAATTAGTACATTTCCTATAGAGCATTGTTGCCTTCTCCTTTGTTTTACTCCTACCATCCCTGCTCTCCCAGATCCACAACTAATATACCCCTACGCCCACTCCCACC